TACTTAATACATGTTTCTAATGGAAGTTAATACATGTTTCTATTTGGGAAGAATAAGTCATTTACAAAATGTTATACATTGAGAGATTTCAAAATTTACAAAAGAAAAAATTTAAATATTGTTTTCAACTATTAAAAAAACCTAAAACAGTATTTTATATAAATCAACCTTTTTTCTCTAATTTTCTGATATGATCTCAGTTACCTGATAGGTTAGCATCCAAGTACAGTATCCATTGACCTTGAATAATTTTTGCCTCAGAAAACTATGAAACATTTCAATGGATTGAGTTTCAATTGTTTAATGAAAGACAAAGGGAACTAGAATTTAGCAGTTTTATGCCCAGCCATGGGACTTCAAAATCACCAGGGGGATAACTTTTGCCTAGAAAATAGCTAATCTGTTTTTACAGTCATTAAGCACTGGTAAGACAAAATTTATCATCTCAGGAACATCACAGTGTTAATGTCACACATGAAGAGCCTTAAAATCATTTCCAAGATTCAGCAGCTTAAGGGAATTCTTCTATATCTTCAGGGGCAACAGGTATTTTTGTCTTGTTTTACAATCTTAAAATTGGAGAACAGCTTTACTATTTTCGTGTTTACATGTAAATACATGTAAATTTGTGTGGTGTGCTTGTGTACAATATGTGTGTGTCTTTAAACTCTGAGTGTACATGTGGAATTAACTGAAATAGAAAAGCAAAGCTNAATAGATGTTCTACCCTTTGACATGGGGCAGTGCTATTGATTTTCTTTGTAGAGCTGGGTATCAAGTTCCTGAGAGAGCATGTGCTATTGTCATCTCTGAGAGACGTGGTAAGGTTTCCAGAAACCTAGGAAAATCTTCTGCCAGAGCCCAGCGACTTCTGGCATGCTAGCCTGCTCTGTCTTTCAGGTGAGTGCCACATTCTTAAAGAAATGGGCTTCAGACAAAAAGAGGATTTTGCTCTGTGGTTAGGTTTTTGACCTGCACTGCTTCATACTTGAAAATATGAGCATCTCTAGATTCTTTGCTAAAATCATTTTCATCTTTGCAAATCAATGATATTAACTTGTCTCCAGTACCATAGAGTTTTTCCTTGCAAATATTTGCCTCAATATTACTTCCTGAGAGTTGCAGTGATATTTACATGTTTGATCTGTGAGAAGTCACAGGTGGGATATTCAATAATTTTGAGCAATTGAGCCAGTAACTCTCCTGGGTTCAGTTTCCTAGGACGATTTACTTCCCACAGTGGGCAATTAGTTGTTGCTATGCTCCTAGTCTTTCTGGCACTACTCTGCCCTGATCCCCATTTGTCAGTTATTAATAAATTATGAACTGCTCTCTAATTATCTTTGATTCAGAGCCTTTAAAGAAAAAAGCATGTAATCATGAGAAAATAGAAGGGATAACAACTCTCAGATATTAAATCAATACACATGCCTGGATTTGTTACATTTTTATAAAATCACATCTATTGCTAATTCATAAACCACTGAGATTTGTTTTTAGTGAGCTGTTTTCTAAAATCAGTGATTGTAGTGTGATTACAAATATTTGTCTATTTATCATTATTTTAAAATAAAATAGTATTAAATTAAAATAAGTTTATATATTCTTTTCTTATCAAAACTTACCAAGTTCTGAAACTAAATAACCCTAGTTATATTAGAGATGCTAAATATANTAGAATTAAAATCATATTATGATAGTTGTCATAAGTGTTTAAAATGAAATATAATGATGTTAAACGTAACTATTTTAATACTTTATATACATATGTAACATAACAGTGGAAAATTATTAAACTGCTTTATATAAAAGGTGTATAAATGGTATAAATGCATGTATGTAAGTGTATAATGATGTATAAATGTGTGTGTAAGTACAAAAGCACTTAATATAAAATATTTGTAATTGTAACTATGTGGGACTCCCCAACAGAAATTCACCTGACCAAACATTAAAAAATATTTTTAAATGATAATATTTAAACAAATATGATCTTGGTCAAAACTGGATTAGAGGAATAGGTTTGAGAGCCCAGAGGTAGTATAGATAAAAGAATATCTACATGGACACTATTTAGTGTGCTAAAGGTGGACACCTATAACAATTTTAGGGGAGGGTGATAAACAGTGCCGGGACTTACATAAGTCTGTAGAAAATATCAGTTTAGGTCCCTAACCACATAAAATTAACATTTTTTTTTGTATTTCATGCAAAATAAGTATTATTAAAAAGCAAACAAATCTTGACACTTCCAATGATATGTCTTTACTATATGGAAAGCTAAGATCTCACTAGCCTAAGTGGATAAAGAGCATGTACACGTAATTTACAAAACAAGTAATAAAATAGTTAATAACTATCCTTATTGTATATATAGAATGAAACTCAGATTAACTAAATCTCAAGAATAAAAATAATTAAAAATATGGGACTTTTTTCCTCTATCAAAATAGCAGAGATTGACTATTTTGTGAATTAACAATTTCATGCACTATAGTGGGGGATGGTGATTGGTACAATGGTTTATGATGGCCATTTGTCAATATGTATCAACAGTCTTTGAAATATTCATATTCACTAACCCTTACTTTGAATTATACAAATGTGTTCTAAGAACATTAAAGAAAGAAAAACCTCTCCCCCAAAACAATAGCAACAAAAGAAAAAACTAGCAATGCAAAAGGGAAAATGTATAGGAAAGATTAAACATAATATGAAGGAGGTATTAAATGTTTGCTTTTAAAACATTTGGAATTATACAGGGAAATTTGATATTAGAATGTTAAGTCAAAGAAAAACAGAAAACAAAACTATAAATTATGAGCTCAACTATGTATATGAAATATCTTAAATAATTGGCAAAATATTAATATTGGTTTCCTCTGGTGGATAAATATGATTGATTTTTCTTTCTACATTTTGTCTTATATGTTCTATATAATTTTTAATCAAAAGAATAAGAAACGCATACACAAATAAAATAGCAGCTGGTAAGAAATCAGGAAAATCATTTTAACCATGCCAACTGTGTAACATGCAATGTAAACAAAGAGACTGAAATGTAAAGGAAAGGGAGAGGCAGCAAGATGTCTTGGAAATGTAAAAAAATCAGTTTATTTAAGGAAATGACCANTGTGAGTGTGGTAGTAATGGGAAAGTAAAAACACACAGGACGAGTGTGTCCTTCCAACACATTTGCATTTGCCTTGCAGTTCCTGTTTCAACCCTGAAATGTCCTATTATAATATTCATTATAGAGCTAAGAGTTCTGGGACTCGGTGAGAGGAAACAGCTTTCCCAAGATGGCACTGATAACAACTTATGGAGGTAAGATGTAGGCAGCAGTTTACTGCCTCATGTGATGCTGGAAGCACAATGTTTTCTTCTATAGCTTCCAGTTCACCCACCCAACCCCTCAGCCTCATCTCTCCCTCCCCCTGTTGAAAATTTAGGACATTTTCATGGAGAGTGCTGGTATGGACATTTCTTTCTACTTTCGCTAATAGCTTGTTACCAGGTTAAGAAAAAAAAAAAAACAGCAAACAAACTGACAAACAAATTCACAATAAATTACATACAACATTTAAAATCTTTGATGTAAGTTTAGCCCTTACTGTAGCAAAATCTACCAAATTTTGATTGGAAGTATTAAAAGATGGATGCCATAAAAATACTCAATGACCCAAACTCTACTAGTATTAAGATGCATGTAGAAAACAGAGATCAGACAATGTAAGTGATCAAGATAAATCTTAAATAAATGATACACATTTCAAGTATTTCTAAAATAGAAAGAATACCCCAAACTCTACAAATCTAAGTGTTCCATGTACATCTATTTCTTTGTCTTAAAGGACAAAGTCACAAAAACAAACAAACAAGTAATTCACTTTGACCTTGGAATCTGGAACTCTCCTTATTTCTCTCTCTTAGGACAACTATGAGAACCTAGGGATTGCAAACTACATAAAAACAGAAAGAGAACTGGAGGTGAGTTATCTTTAGACTACACTTCAATTGGTTTATATCCCAAGCTATACTTTACTGATGATTCATTGTATTTCTTTTAATCATTTTAATGGGCCAGAGATCATCATAAAAGGGGCTCGTCTTCCATGAATGCCACACTGATGCAAGTAGCAAATATTAGTGAACATGTTAGATTCAGTTTGCGTATTGTAGTATAAATTTGGGAATCCAAAATAAATTTCACCAACTATTGAACACCTTTTGTAAAAACTTTTTGCTGCAGTAGTAGACATAATCATTGTCCTTACTATCAAATGTTTACTNAAGTTGATTATATTCAGCCAATCATCAGGAAATACCTTCTACAAAAGTTCTTGTTGGGTCACTATTTTTGTTCAAAATAAAAAGTATAGCTATGCAATACATATATTAGTATATCCATTCATATAACATTCAATAAAATTCACTTTAAATCAGGATACACTATGATTGATATATTCAGGTTGAAATCATTCAGAAACAGCAAATAAAAGCAGTCGCAAAAAAGGGCTAGTTATTTATTTCTCAAAATGCTTGTTTGCCAGAGAGTCTGCTTTTTATTCATCACCTTATTAAGACAGAACGCTGGCTAACTAGAATTATTAGTCCTATTTCTCTAAATCCACCAGGCACTGACACAGACCTTCCCAAATGCTAACATTGAAGCAGGCAACCATAAATACTTTTAAGATGAAAAAAAATTCCAATTAAAATAAAAAAAACTATATCAGACAAAGATATGATTATAATAATGACAGAATAAAGAATAACATGTTAATACTATTCTTGTGAAAAGACCATACCTGAAAAAGAAAGTGTGTTAGCATTAACAGCAATAAGGTAAGGCTTAAGAAGTATATCATTCATTGAGGTTATTTACTGATATATTGTTTGCCTGATTTGTTTTGGGATGTGCTTAACAGCCAAATGGTCAGATCAAGGTAGGGAAAAGATCAGCTGCAAAAGGTGAGAATCACAGCTTCCTCTCTTACCTTCCACTGAGGAGGAAGCCGATAACCACTGCCAACAAAATGACTCCCACTGTCACAGACACAGCAATTATAGGAATCTGGCTTTGATCACTGGATGCTGCAACTGCTAATAGAAGACACAGAAAATGGAGCTTGTGGTTAAAGTGATCATGTGCATTCAAATAAGAGCTGCTTAATAGTCGGTAATCAATGCATGGTTTAAGCAATTCACCCACACTTGGCTGAGATTTCCCTCTAATATCTTTTCTCAAAAGTGTGTAATTGAAAAGACATCTTTAGGAGAAAATATTTACTCTCCAAATGGAAATTTGAAAGAATCACTAAGTCACTGATTATTTCCTTGTCATTATAAAAAATGAGAGTAATTGTTTGCATAATATTCATCTAGAAATCTTAGGTTTGCATGGTAAAATGCAACTTAGTCCTGGATTTCAAACACCTTAATCTAAATAGGAGGTGCTAAGTATGAGATTTAATATTTTTTGAGTGTTCATGTGGCTGTTCTCTAGAAAAAAGATCTTTATTGCAGATAGAATTTTTTCAAATAGACAGGTTGAAGTCCAAAATGATGTGTTACGACCTCAGTGAAGTTAAACATCATGTTACTATTCTAAATATAATTTTAAACATTGTGACTTCAAGCAGAATATAATCGTAAATATACTTTATAAGTAGACCCACTTTTTGAAAAATGTGAAGGCATACATTTAGAACTTAGAGTCTGCAGTAAGATTACATTTGTTTACATGATATTTTTCTTTAAAATACATGGATTCAGATGAACTACTTTATATTTTAACAATGCAATTACCATAATAAAAGGAATATGGGCATGATTAGATAGTTATACCTAAATAAGCANTATTTGAGATTTAAGGAGATACAATGCAATGACAGGGCAGATGGAAGCAATGGTGATAGAGATTTTCACGTCAGGGCATATGATGTACTGAGACTATCTCCTGCTAGCCTTCCAAGCTGGGTTATTTAAGAGTCCTCTTAGAGTAGGGGTGGAGGGTTTCAAAGGTTGGGCACACAGGAGTAGGATCCAGTCACCCTGACTTTGGGAACTCATAGGAATAAATGGACCAAACTGCACAGGCTCCAGGCAGGTATTTGAGATGTATGCATAGAAGAACTTTCCAATTCAATTTCTTGCACGAAGATTTAGAAGCCTTGGGCTGGGGCAGAAAGATACTGTGTGGTAAAATAAATACGCATATCTACTTGGAATTCAAAGTAGTTTCCCTCTGGGGTTGGAGATTGACAGTACACACTAGCCCGGTTTTGAATGATTAATTATAAATCTTTAGGACTCCAGGAAAGGCTGGGTTTATCCTGGCCCTCTAAATTCCAAATGATTAGAGAGGAGGTGAATCTAGCAGACCACTGTAGGTACATTTGAAACAGCAGGAATAGGATTAGGTCAGAAAAAGTCAGATATAGACATCAGAATAAATCATCAAGAGGCCCTTATGTATTAGAAAGCATGCAAGCCAAAAAAATGCAGAATTCTTTTTTATCATATATGTCTCATCAAAATTTATATTAAACAATGTTCAACATCACTTATTACATAAATGTTGAATTTATGTTAATTTGATGATTGGTTATATTTTACATTGATGAGATAGAAATTATTCATTTAGGTAGTTAAATTTTATCTTAAAAGCTTTCAGGGGAAGATTGGACCTATAGGCTAAAATTTTCCAGATAATTCTACTGGTGCAAATTAAGAAACTCAGAATAATTGTACAAATTTAATATCTACACTGGTTATACAATTATAATGAAGTTGGTATTCTTAAATAAGTAGTATTGTGCTGCTGGCATAAATGAAGATCTCACAGACAACTTTAAAGGTAAAGATTTTTGGTAAGATTCCAGTATACCTAGGAATAATTAATATTAACACAGAAAATATTTCANAAAAATATCACTTTAATCATGTTTCTCTGATCAAGAAGTTAATAGATACTTACTACCCACTGGGAAAAAAAATCCCAAATTCTCCATCTATCATTCAAAAGCCCTTCTATTGTGACTCTAACAAATCTTTCTGGTCACAATGTGCCAGTTTGGGAACTCGCAGAGATACGTTTTTGGAGGAAAAGACGTAATTAGTCAGAGGTAGCGATAAAAACAAGGCAATTTTAGGCTAACCAAAGTATTATTATTGAGAAAAAAATACGGGTGCTTAGTCATGTCAAATGTTTCGTTTTTAATAATTGCCAAGATCTAATTTAACAATATGCTAAAATATACCTTAGGTATGGGATAATATTTTGCATTAAAATAAGTGTCAATGGCATACAAAAATTTTTAAATGTTTAAAATAATAAAGTTTATGAAAATATTTTGTATGTAATGTTAAATCACAAATATTCATATTTACATATTTTAATCTATCATCCACTGAAATCAGATCTTTCTGTATAATAAAAATTAAATCAAGGGGCTCTAAAGAAGAATTTAAAGAATGCACTTTCATTTTTTTTAATCTGAAGCAGTTTCTAAGATCTTTGATGGTTCTTTAATTATTGACTATTTTATATACAGTAATTTGTGAACTATTTATAATAGAAAATAATTCATCAAGCTTCTGTCCATTTTTTTTGTTTGTTTGCCCTAACAGCATCAACAATTATATCAACTAAGTTGAAAAGCTATGGAATTTAGGGTACTGCCAATGCCTTTATACTTGTTCATTCTTCAGCAGCAGGGAAAAAAATGAAATCCAGGTTTGATCCATGATTATCCTTTTAGTATATTGCTAAATTTTATAATCTTTAAGGTATGAACCTCTAATCAATCATATTTCCCATTTTCTTATGTAGGTTTATTAAGAATTAGTTGACTTGTGATGTAGTTTTAGACAAATAGCTCAGAAATGTTTTGGGAATGAATGCTTAAAAGAAAATTTTGGAGAAATGTAGCATGCTTATTAGAAGGATATCAGTCATGAAAATCAATATTCTTTAGTAAATTACAATGTATCTTTTTTTCAATCACTATATGTGTATGTATATATATATATATGTATATATATGTGTATATATATATATATATATCTGTAACATCTCTGGAAATTTTAAGGTATCGTATGTTGAGAAATCATGTTGTTTTCCCTCACTTTGCTTCTCACACTCATTTTGCTGCAAACTCATATTACATAGATATTCTCTAGATTTTAGCTACATATTTAAACAGTTATTTATTGAGGTGAATAGATTTTGTTAGAGCCACATTATAAGGGCTTTTGAAAGCCAGAGAGAATTTGGGATCTGTTTCCCACATCAATAAGCATTTATTAACTTTCTTGATCAGGATAATCTGATCAAAGTTATAATTTTTGATACAAAATATAAGTACATAACAGTGATTGAGGAAATTTAAAACAGTGTGGCAGGCAAATAAAAACAAGAAAAGATGTTGAACATCATTACCCATCAGGGAAATTCAGATTAAAACCACAATGAGATATCACAGTGCATCTGTCCAATATGACGAATACATATATGATGAGGATGTGG